TGATGGACGTCTCTCTCGTCTTCACTCGTGACCTTTGACCTGTTCACGTCACATCTCCGCGGGTTTGTTATTATCCTGAGGGGCCCCGGTGTCTGGTCCAGGGGCCCCCCTCATCTGCGGGGCCCAGACTGTCCCTCCTGTCCTCTGCGGGGCCAGACTGTCCCTCCTGTCCTCTGCGGGGCCCCGTCCCTCCTGTCCTCTGCGGGGCCGGACTGTCCCTCCTGTCCTCTGCGGGGCCCAGACTGTCCCTCCTGTCCTCTGCGGGGCCCAGACTGTCCCTCCTGTGTTTTTCTCTGTTGGTTTGGATCATTTCTTGAAACAGAAACAACAACAACTCAAAACAACACGGACAAATCTCCAAACCTGCTGCGGTTCACAACAGAATCACATTTCTCACTGATTTCATCAAATTTCAAACATCTTAGTTCATGTGTGAAGTGTCTCAGTGAGTCTTTACACATGGTTCTGTTCAAGTCTCCTACAGTTACACAATGAGCCACACTTTACACAGTTTACATATAAATAGACCTTGTTGATCTAAACCAGTGGTGCTCAATACGTCGATCTCGATCTACCAGTCGATCTCCAAGGTCGTGTGGGTAGATCGTCCGTGTCTCGTCTCGGACTCGTGTTTGGACTCGGTCTTGTCTCTCACTCGAGGTCTGACACTCCACAAGTGTGATCATATTTCATTGCTGTTGGTAATAAACTTGTAGCGGGTGCAGGAGCGTGTGGGGCGTCTCAGTGCAGCCTGTGCGCTCATTTGAAACCCGCGGAGACTCTACGGCGCATCACAAACACACACGCTCCCTATGCACGGCTCGTCTGCGACAGCGTGTGCCCTCGTGTACCAGCGTGCATCACAGGGCAGGTTCAACTTCCTAAACATCCTACCTGTCCACCTGCCTCACGTCAGCACGCCGCCCCTCGCCTTTTCACGCTCTCGCTCCTTCCTGCGTACAGCCAACACAAGCCCCTCCCACAGTGCGGCTGATTAGAAGAACAAGACCAAACGTGAAGCAAAAACCAGTCTAAATTTGTGTTCCAGTGTTGGCACAAAGCAGGTCTACAGCATAGAGCGGATCTACAGAACAGACCTACTGCCACATTTGGCTGAAGTTTGTCTAACAAAAGTGACAAATGCATCTGTGTTTGTTCGGGCTGGTGTCATTAAGAAGTTGTCGATACGATACATATCCCGATACAGTGCACTTTCAGTTCGATATGATATATTTCAAATCGATACGGTTCAACAAAAAAATAATGATGAAATGTTGGATGTGGTACTAAGTGTTTGTTAAACCACTTCTTGTGCAAAATGAAACGAAACACACATTTTACTGATCAAAACAGTGAAAATGTTCAATTTGTTGCATAAACAAGTTTCCTTTCAAGTTTCCAAACAACAAAACTGTAGCTGTAACAAAATAATTTAGTAAAATATAGCAAAAAATACTCTTGGAAATATATCGATACAGCAGCCCACGATATCGATACTGTATCATCACATTAAACAATACGATATATTATATATATACGTTTGGTTTGGTAAACGTGCAGAGGCTGGTAAATATCACTGCAAAACCACAAAAGAATGAAACTCCAGTTTGGAAAAACAGGTTTAAAAATCTTCCTTCACTTTTTTCAGTTTTGTGTTAGGAAAAAAAGAAGAGGTTCTCAAACTGTGGGGGAGGGTCCAGAAAAGGAACACAGAGTGTTTCAGTGCAGTTTGTTTGGCTTTGATATGTAGATCAGTTTGACTTGGTCATTCTGTAAGTTCAGGATCCTGTTTACATTTTCTTTTTATTTACTCTGATGTGTGGACGTGTCATTTCTGTTTCAAGAAATGAACCAAACCAGCTCTAATTTCACCAACAAACATGATCCAGTTTGTGATTTGTGTTTTTAAATCCAGAGGTCAGAGGTCACAGAGGCGTTCACACCCGAGAGAGTGAAATCTGAACTTTAAATACTCCACAAATGATCCACGTGTTTCAGCTCATGTTTGTGGAGCTTTAAATCCGACACACGTTTAGACTCTCGCTGGCGTCAGGCGCTTCATAAATCATCGTCCTCGTTAGCGGCGGGCGGTTAGCGGCGAGGGGACACGGGGACACGGGGGAGCGCTGTGATTGGCTCAGAGGAGATCAGGGTAATTAAGACACGTTCATTTAGTTTAACGAGGTTTAAGTGTCGCCGGGGGACAGCGGCGGAGTGCGGAGCCTCATGTCTCAGGGTTTTCCACTGCAGATTCATTCAGAAGAATCACGACCACGACGACAGGACGCAGATTACTGGGCTTTTGTTGATTTTCTCACGTTGAAATGTTCCGCAGTGGAGCTTTAACCCTGTTCTAGTGTGATTAAATGTTACGTTCATGTTTTCGCTGGAGGAGCCTGAGATTTTAATCCTGTGTGAATCCTTCATGTCTGTCATTTGTAAAGTCAAAATTCCTCCTCAAATTACCGACTAAATTTCTCCAAACACAAACGTCTGTGACACTCGACCGTGTGAATCTGCTTCTCAGTGTCTGTTGTTGTAATTGCACCTTTTCTTTTTCTTTCTTTTCTTTTCTCTTTCAATCTCTGTGTCAGTGTCGGTAAAATAGAATCATTTACGGACTTTGCTCAGCGCACGGCAAAAAACTGAAGGATTAAAAATTCAGGGTAAAATATTTCAGAGTTGTTTTTAACACAAAAAGTTTTATTTTAACTCTTTGAAAGTTAAATGTGTGTTGGAGTTGGGGTTATTTGACAGAGTTGATTTGGTTGAAGTGAATTCAACTTCCATTAGTGTTAATTTGTCTCCTCCCACCACTTCAAACTCCCTCCAGAGTAGAACCAGTGTGAACCAGTTTTTTATTCATAATTTCATCTTAAATTAACTCAAATAAAGTGTCAAAATAAAACTCCTCTGTGTGTTGTTGAGTTAAATCTGGATAACTCTACAAAGTGTTATCTGTTTACTCTCTAAACGTTCATTTAACTCTGGATTTGGGGTTAAACAGGAACTTTGGTCCAGTTCTACTTAATGAACATTTACACAAATGTTAAATTAACTCTAGAACAGAGTGACTCAGATAAACTCTGAGGAAATGTTCAAATTGACTCTCACTTTTTGCTGTTTGTGAATGTGCTGCAAATAACACAGACGTGGGGCCGTAATTTACAATTTCCCAGACATCTCCAGGTTGGATTTATCCCGTGTGAATCTCGAGTTTATGATGTGAAAGTGAACGAGTCTCTATAAAAGAAGAAACATGTTTGTCCACAAAACTGCCAACGATTTTTCAGGTAAATCCTTAATCCTCCGAATAAACCAGAGAATAAAATATCACAACTGAAACAGGCACAGAGTTTTTGGACTGGTGTTATTCAAAATAAACTTTAAATTAAATATCGGAAATAGAGGTGGAAATCTGTTTTTTGCTTGACACTAAAGCAGAAAAATGAAATAAACTGTTTTCACATTTTTATTGTTTTACACGAGATGAGTTTAACTCAGAGACACTGACACTTTTCATCTGCACTCTTCACATTTGTGGTTTTATTTTTTTTTATTTTTATTTTTTTTCCCCAAAGAGTAAACCTCCCTGAGCCTCGTGTCTCGTTGTTTCGTGAAATCATTTTCTTCTCTAAACCTGTGACCCGGAGCCGGAGGAGCAGACGCTCAGAGTCACGTCTCGTCTGAATCTTGTGGAGTTTTATTTCCATATTTCTCGTTCGTTCTCGTCACGTTGGAGCAGAGTGAACGTGAGTTTGTCCCCGAGGCCGTGGACCGGACTGGATCTGAGCCACAGGAGCGTGCACGTGCAGAGGAGCGTGCACGTGAGGGGTGGGGGTTTGCACGAGGCGACAGGTGCACAGGCCCACGTCCTGACAGGTGCAAGTGTCCCTGTCTCAGTTTGAAATCTCCAAAAAGAAAATCCAGAAATGAGCATAAGAATGTGAAAGGAAAAGATCTGGGTCCTGGTACTTTAGTCCTGGTATAGTCCTGGTTTAGTCCTGGTTTATTCCTGGTTCAGTCTGTGTTTTAGTCCTGTTTTAGTCCTGGTTCAGTCTTGGTTTAGTCCTGGTTCAGTCCTGGTTTAGTCCTGTTCAGTCCTGGTTGAGTCTCTGTTTAGTCCTGGTTCAGTCCTGGATTAGTCCTGGTTTAGTCCTGGGTCAGTCCTGGTTCAGTCCTGGTTTAGACCTGGTTTAGACCTGGTTTAGACCTGGTTTAGTCCTGGTTCAGTACCTGCAGCAGACACCAGGGGGCGACAGGTGAGTGTGGGACTTTTCCTAAACTCCAACTTTACAAACTCAGGACGAACTGAGAATTTAGAGATAGAAAAAGTCAATAAATATTAATAAATAAGCTGATTAAAAACATGATAAAATATGAATCTAATACAGTTTCCTCCAGACTGATCCGGACTGAGCCACAGCCACAGGTCGTTTCTCTTGGTGTGATTTGAAATAAACTTTAACTTTAATATTGGAAATCGAGACACTAAAACGTAAAAATGAAATAAACTGTTTTCCCATTTTATTGTTTTTCGTGCTAAATTAAAATTCAAAAAAACAAATGACACAAGGATTTTCAAAAAAATAAAAAAAAAAAAAAAAAAAACTAAACTAAAAACAATTTTCTTTTCTCTTTTCTTTTCATTTGTCTCCAATAATTAGTTTTTTCAGTTTTCAATTTTGTGTTTAAATACCCAGTAGTAACAGAGCATGTTACTACAGAGCATGCATTTTTTGTTGTTGTTTTGTATTTGTTGTGGGTGTTGCTTTATATTTTTGTGTTTTGTTTTTATGTTGATTATTGCAGTTTGTTAAATTTTGATTGTTGTATTTTGTTAAATGTTGTCCTTAATAAAAAAAAAAAAAAGTGACTAAAAATATTATTCTAAATATTATTAGCAAAATGAATTAGTGGCTTTTATTAATTTTTATATAAAAAAAACCAAACAAAAACGTTTTTGTTATCGATAGTTTTAGTCAGGCCCCGCCCCCTCCCGTGAGCCCGCGCAGACCCGGAGCCGAGACACAAACTCCACACAAATATTAAAGATTTCAGCACAAACCTGTTATTTAACCAGGCCGGAGGAGGAGTGTGAACAAAACACGAGGTACAGGCTTTACCAGGACAGTTTGGGTGAGTTTTGTTTGATATTTTGCCCATTTTGTGAGGTGCACTTTGCCCTAACGAGGTCATTAAAGCCAATTTAAAGTTGACGTAGACGGTAGAAAACTGCGGATTTGTGTCTCTGTACTTTTGTTTTAACTGTAAAGCCTGAAATTATTTAATATCTATGTGTTTTGGGTGTATTTCATGTAGAAACACGTAAAATTGTTGATAATACTGAGCCGTGTGGACGTTTGAGCCGCCGCCATTTCGTGTTTTTGCGAAGTCACGTAGCCTTTTCACTCGGCTCCGATTTCATTTAGAGAAATTTTATTTTTATTCATGGACAAAAAAAAAACCACATAATCTTTGTGGTCTGTCCTGCAGGTTTTATTCCCACTGGGAGAACGTGGGAGAAGGTTCTGGACCCTGAACCGCCCATGAGACACGGAGACACGGAGACACGGAGACATGGAAGGAGAGTCCACAGGGAGCGCGGGAAACACGGCACGTAAAGCGGCACGTGATCCTTTCTCCACACCTACAAACTCACTGCCAAGGCTGAGGTAAGAGAGGGATATTTTTTTTCCATAGTGAATTCTAAAGACGTTAAAGGTAGGGATGGGCATGATTAATCGATTAATCGATAATTGATCATTAAGAATTTCATCTATTATGTTAATTTTAATCGACAAACCCAATGTATGTTGCTGTGCGTAGCGTGACCAAACAGGTCTGTACATGTGTCTCTGCATCAGAAGGATTTAACGATGACTTGTACAAGAAATTCCACACTTTCCATTGCGTTCGGGGCAAGTGTGAGTCTTGCAATGTCAATGACGAGGCCCCACTTCCCACCCCCCTGTCTGTCCTGGTTTTGACAAACACAAATCTGGTCACACTAACCTGTATTCACCTGAGTCATGTCTTTTAATCTGACAGAAGTTGAACCACATCAGCGACACAAGAGCTGTAGTGACTAGCACTCATGCCTCACAGCAAGAAGGTTCTGGGTTCGATCCCCGGGTCGCCCGGGCCTTTCTGTGTGGAGTTTGCATGTTTCTCCCCGTGTCTGGATGGGTTTCCTCCGGGTGCTCCGGTTTCCCCCATCAACCCAAAACATGCTGCATAGGTCTCCATAAACAGTTGATAGTCATGGTCACTTAAATACAATCAATTCAGTCATTGTGTCCTTAGGCAAGACACTTCGCCCAATTTGCCTAGTATGAAAGTGGTGTGTGTGTGAGTGATGGTGGTGGTCGGAGGGACCGATGGCGCCGAGTGGCATGGCAGCTGCGCTTCTGTCAGTGTGCCCCAGGGCAGCTGTGGCTACAATAGTAGTTTACCATCACCAGGTGTAGAGTGAATGAATAATACTGTATGAATGAATGAATGCTGAATGAATAATGCTGAATAAAGTGTAAAGCGTCTTTGGGGACAGAAATGTCTGTGAAAGCGCTATATAAATAAAGATATATAGTTTTATCTTCACTTAGTTTATGTAAATTAGTGATGTGGTTTTAAGTTTTGTTTCTGTGAGATTTGAACAAAACTGAATTACACAGTTGTTACGGTTTATATGTCGTAAAATTGAATTTATTTATGCAGATTAGTGCAGATAGTAATAATAATGATGATCATTTTAATATAAAAACGTTCATGATTAATCGATAATCGATCGTTAATTCTTCCGACGATTGATTAAGAAAATTTCATCGAATGCCCATCCCTAGTTAAAGGAGCACTTTCACCAACAGGAGACGTTGCTAAATAACAGTGAGTTTGTAATCATGTACTTCAGTGTCCCGGTTATTATCCATATCCCGGTTCTGTCAGTTTTTTGATACTGCGTTTCCATGCACACTGAGAAACTGGGACACTCATATCACTGTGACATGATCAAATGGAGTATGCTGTTTTTTTGACATAATCTTACAAATGTGCAAGTGCAAAAATTAACTTAATTTAATAAACCAGGAAAATTACAAACCATGAGCTCCTTTAGCGTCGGAAGATCAGGAGGTTTAACCAGTGTGAGGAGCTGTGATCCACTGTGCAGATCAAACCCAACGTTTCCAAATAAGTTTAACAGCAGCAGATTCTTTATTAAAATCTTCTTACATAAGTAAACTCAACTTTACAACATAAAAACCAGAACCACCGTAGAGCCACATCAGACTGTTTGATCAGATCATTCAACTTTACACATACTTGTTTACGTTTTAGAGAAACAAAACTTAAAACCACATGACTCATTTACATAAACTAATGTCTCTGATAAAAACAGTTCTTTCCTTGTGTCTGATGTGCTTCAGTTTGTCGGACTAAAGGACACGACTCAGTGGAATATGAGTGTTCTCTCTGTGACAGAGGGGTGTTGATGATGAAGGTGAGTCTGTTCTGTGTGTCGTGATGTTTTCAGAGATCGTACTTGTGCAGGTTTAGTGCAGCTCTTTATGTTGCAGTAACCGGGATACTACGTAAACATGCACCATGACAAAACCGAGATACTGATGTTCATGTAAACAAACTCACTGAGAGGAACAGAGTCTCCAAGGAGCCAGAGCCCAAACGTGGGACTGAGGCCGAAACTCCAGTGTTTGTGTCAGACGCAGCTTCATATCTACACACAGAAACATTCGGTTTGTCGATTAGAAATGAACGTAATCGACAAAATTCTTAATGATCATTTATTGATTAGTCGACTAATCCTGCCCATCCAATATGCACTTATTGAAAGTGTTTGCTAAGCTAATGGACTTCCAAAGAAAACCTGTTCTCATTTTGCTTCATGTAACCCACGTCAATTAGCCCCACTTCCTGTTGCATGGTTATTGTGGCGGGACAACTTCCTTTAAGTTCTGTCGTCTCTTTACACATCGTCCTGCTCCTGTCCTCCGGTGAGACCATCGCTTGTGGAAACTTTTAACACAGCAGATCTAACAAAGATTACCAGACGGATTTGTTCATCTGTCAGTCATCTCAACATCTGCTCAACGGTGAGTGACGAAACTTTTCCCTTCAAAAGATTTTTACGATTCTCTTCAACCTGTGAACACTCATACAAGTACAGCTAAGTTAATGCAAACGCACACAGATAAATGCAGTCAGCGCGACCAACAAACAGACTTTTTAGTTTAATCTCTGCTTTATTTTAGTTTCTACCCAAACCAAACCTCTCGCTAAAAACACCAGTATTGAAATAATACACTAGTTTTTCCACCTTAGACATTTATAGAGTTGTTTTTATTACTTTTGAGCACAAAGTCTAAGCAGCAGTGGTTGTTTTGAATTGACCCTGTTAAACAACAAAACACTCGAATATTTATTTCTCCGTTATGATAAATGCACTACGTTTTCATATGTTGACTTGAGTTCATTATTATTGATGAAATAATAACCAAATGTTTATTGATTATGAATATTGCTTTAAAAATGGCATTGAATTATTTATTTTTATTTATTAGCAGTAATGATTTATTACTTTAGCTAAAGTGAAGTTAATTTTATTTATTTCTGTGCTAATTTTTGTTTTACTCACCCTGTTTTAGGTCAGTTTTTTTCCACTGGATCATTCTGCTGCAGTACAACAATCCACAGCTGGATGAGGAGCTCCACGTTCTCCTCATGATCACGGTACGACACATTAATCCTTTCATGACTCTTCTGGATCATAATAACTCAACTTGAACTTTTGAATTACAGTAACTCAAATGGACCATAACACTCTCTACACCCGCTTCTGAACTGGACTACTGTCTTGTACTGTTTAAAGTATATCTACCTATAAATAATTAAATAATATAAAATAAATATTATATTGTATTATATATTATATTAACACCACCTATTATTTATACCTCTTATACTTATACACATGCATACATACATACATACATACATTCATACATACATACATACATGCATACATACATGCATACATACATACATGATACATACATACATACATACATACATACATACATACATACATACATACATACATACATACATGCATACATACATACATACATACATACATGATACATACATACATGATACATACATGATACATACATACATACATACATACATACATGCATACATACATGCATACATACATGCATACATACATACATGATACATACATACATACATACATACATACATACATGATACATACATACATACATACATACATACATACATACATACATGATACATACATACATACATACATACATACATGCATACATACATACATACATGATACATACATACATACATACATACATACATGCATACATACATACATACATGCATACATACATACATACATACATGATACATACATACATGCATACATACATACATAATACATACATACATACATGCATACATACATACATACATACATACATACATGTACATACATACACGCATACATACATACATACATACATACATACATACATACATGCATACATACATGCATACATACATACATGCATACATACATACATGCATACATACATACATACATACATACATGATACATACATACATACATACATACATACATACATACATGATACATGCATACATACATACATACATGCATACATACATACATACATACATGATACATACATACATGATACATGATACATACATACATACATACATACATACATGATACATGCATACATACATACATACATACATGATACATACATGCATACATACATACATACATGCATACATACATACATACATACATACATACATACATACATACATACATGCATACATACATACATACATACATACATACATACATACATACATACATACATACATACATACATGATACATACATACATACATACATACATACATACATACATGATACATACATACATACATACATACATACATACATACATACATGATACATACATACATACATACATACATGATACATACATACATACATACATGATACATACATACATACATGCATATACATGATACATACATACATGATACATACATACATACATGATACATGCATACATACATACATACATGCATACATACATACATGATACATGCATACATACATACATACATACATACATGCATACATACATACATACATACATACATACTCTGAGGTCATATCTTTAATACAGTTTCATTTTTGAAGTGAATTTCTGGGTTTTGTGGTTTTATTCACACACATTTCCTCCTGCTGTTCCTCCTTCTGATCGTCCTCTCGGCTGCAGTCAGATCCTTACTGCACAATTAGAACTCCAACGTCTTGAGCAGCAGCGTCAGCGTCAGACGGTCGTTGGACGTGTGTATGACACTGCCGTGTGGACTGTCAGACCTGTTAAAATGGAAAGATAAAGCTGCACGTCTGCTGCTCGTGTGCTGTGCTTCTGCACTTTGGTGTGAATTGGGGGTTAGTCCTCAGTACGTTACATTTGCATACTGTAGTGGGTTTTTTTTTTTGTTTGGATTTATGACAATTTGGTAAAGTTTAAAAGGACACAAGGTGTAATTTTGTAAAGTTACAAAACTGATTTGAAAAGTGTACAGGGTGAATTGATCGAGCCTAACATAGAGCTTAAACCTAAAATTGAGCCAATAAAATTGGATTTTCATCTTAAAGCCCTAAAGAAAAAACAGATTAAAACACAAACAGAACTAAAACTAAAACCTATTATTTGAACTTAGCCTGAAAAATTTAGGTGAAACAATAAAAAACAGCGTTTTAAAGGAACCTTATACAAATTAAATATCAGCAATATCTGTTACCTGTTTGTCTATCAACTGTTATTAAACTTTGCCGACTTTTCCGTTTAAATTTATCCAGACTGTGACTCTTTTTACACGTCATTCCCTCGTACAAACCTGTAACTGCTCCAGTAGATTATCTCCTCTGCCTGAGAGCAGAAGTGCTACACCTGCTTTTAAATAAATGTGTTTTGAGTGGTACAGAGTGAACTCGTCTTGGTTCTCGTCTCTGTCCTGTGTTTGTAGAGGAGGTTAAAGTGTGTCTTCCGCCTGTCTTCGACCTGTCTTCGACCTGTCTTAAACGTGTCTTCAGTGTGCCCTCGTCTTGTCCTTGGCACATCCTCATCTCGTCTTCAGCGTGTCCTCACCTCGTCCTTGTCTGGTCCTCTGCGTGTCCTCTGCGTGTCCTCGGGGCGTGCGCTCTGACATATGTGCCATTAAACATGTATGAGGCCAAACACGGAGGGGACGGTTAGCGTGATGCTACCATTAGCTCTGGGACACATTAATTATGATAAACACTGAGCACGCTAAATATGCTAATGTGGCTAACGGGCTAAATGTCACGGGACCAAATGTCTCTGAACGTCCCCGTCACACGCAGGGACACGGACAGGTGTAGGCCCGGTTTACTTCTGCTCTGAGTCACATTAATTCTGCTAAACAGGAATAAAGAACATGAACCAATCAGAGCGGCCCGGGGCACTGTCGCCGTGACGACCACATTTGACCAGGAACTGTTACTAACGACTCACGACACACAATCTTTTTTTTTTTTTTTTTTTATGTATTTTTTATTATTATTACACACAACTGGGTGCATAAACTTGATACAACAAACGTGTCTGTGTCGTCAGCAGTTACATGTCGGGATGAAGGAACATAAACACAACATATTATATAAAAACAATACAAAAAAAGTGCATTTAGGAAGAGAAAAGGATAATATTGAGGGAAGTAGAGTTCATTCAGCCTGAGTTCATAAAGTCCAGGGGTATTTCACACATGTACGAGACACTTTTCGAGGTTTAGGTCCATTCATATATTTCAGAGCTTTTATATATAATCTGAGTTTGTTTTTAAAACAAGCAAAGTTAGGGGGAACAATTCTGAATTTTACATTTTTGGATGTAAAATTTGGGAAGACATTAAGTTTACACAGAGTTCTTCTTTTTTATTTTGTAGTAGTCCACCAAAAATGATAACGGAACAAAATATGGAATTCATCCAGCGTTGCATTTCAGACCAAAACGGGTGGATTGTAGCACAAAAGAAAAAAAGATGATCGGTGCTTTCCCGACACACGATCTCAAGGACACGAATTTACAAACCCTACTATGGCCACACCAGAGCTCTCACTGGCTGAGCTTCAGGCTCGACCGAAACACAAGATCTGAATCAGCAGAAGATGGAGAAGGTCAGAAGATGGTTTTGTTTCTTTGCTGGATCTAAAGAGTAACAGGCTCATGTGTTTAGCTGCAGAGTTACACTGTCCATCAGTTATAACGTCAACGAGATCAGATGAACGTTTGGCTCTGACATGAGCTGAAGACACAAGGTCACGTGAAGGTCTAACCCCTAACACCAATACAGAGAAATTGATGTAAATGCAGAGTTTCTGGCACAAACAAAAGCCAAAAAAAAAGCCAAATTGTAATAACTTCAACACAAAACCCGAACCAATATCGGCCTGAACATAAATGACTCAGAGCTGCTGCAGGTGCATTTTTAATGAGGATCTGGAGAGAATCAGAGTGAACGTGGACTTTAGGAAGGTCCTGTCCTACAGAGGGCCTATCCATCTATTGACAGTTCTGTTCTTAGCAGCCTGCACTATCTGTTATTATTTATGGATCACCCAGTGAATGCAGATTTATATTATTTATTATATTGTAGGCTATTTAATTTTTCTTAATGCTTGTACATTTAAGTCTTCTGGTTTCCCTCTGCTGTTCTCGACTGCACTGCAAATGTCCCCGTGTGATCAACAGTTTTATGTCGACTTATAATAGGCCCATTATTGACATGTGACATGTGGCTTATTAAAACTTCAGTGTAGTACAGAACCAAACAGAATCATCTAAGCAATTTACATTTGCCTCATTTACATTATTTATTTTCATACCTAAAAATATTTTGTTGTCACCATTTGTCTTCCTGCTGTAGGTCAGGTGTGTCCTAATCCACGTTTCAGTGTGTCACGTGACCTTCACGTGACCTTGTGTCTTCAGCTCATGTCAGAGCCAAACGTTCATCTGATCTCGTTGACGTTGTAACTGATGAACAGTGTAACTCCGCAGCTAAACACATGAACCTGTTACTCTTTAGATCCAGTGAAGAAACAAAACCATCCATTTCCTTCAGATTTCAGTTTGTCCTTCTCACCATAAAAACATTAAAATTTGGTGCATTAATAGATGATAAAAGAATGGAATTTGGTATCAACAATTTGATTTGATTTTAGGTAAACATTTTATTCACAACAACCTGAAACTTTTGTTCACTCATTGGGCTCAACTGAAAGAAAAAAGGCTGTTTTTTAATGTCTTTTTAAAAAATATTTAAATTCATTCCTTTTAAATTGCACCTTTTTATATGTAAATGTTTTTATTCACTGTTGTTTTTTTATGCATTTATTTTATTTTCATTTTCACTCTTTACTTCTGTAAGGTGCTGTTTTTGTTTTGTATCTGAAAATCTGCAATAAAATAAACAAAAAAAATCTTCTGGTGCAGATCACGTGTTTCACTCGAGACTTGAAGTTCAACCAATCAGAAGCAGAGTTCGGAGAAATTTGGCGTGGTCCTAGTAGGATTCGTAAATTTGCCTTTAGAACTAAACCAGGACTAGACCAGGTTTGAGTCCAGGCTGAGGTCTGGTCCAGATTTAGAGGTGGTTCTTGATGGATTGAGTCCTGGTGAAGTCCTCACAGCTGGAGTCACAAAGACTAATGAGACCGAGAATCAGAACGAGGTCAAGACCAGAGAATCCTGGTTTAGACCTGCTGTAGTCCTGGTTCAGTCCTGGTTTAGTCCTGCTTTAGTCCTGGTTCAGTCCTGCTTTAGTCCTGCTTTAGTCCTGCTTTAGTCCTGCTTTAGTCCTGCTTTAGTCCTGCTTTAGTCTTGCTTTAGTCCTGCTTTAGTCTTGCTTTAGTCCTGCTTTAGTCCTGCTTTAGTCCTGCTTTAGTCCTGCTTTAGTCCTGCTTTAGTCTTGCTTTAGTCCTGCTTTAGTCCTGCTTTAGTCTGCTTTAGTCCTGCTTTAGTCCTGCTTTAGTCCTGCTTTAGTCCTGCTTTAGTCCTGCTTTAGTCTTGCTTTAGTCTGCTTTAGTCCTGCTTTAGTCCTGCTTTAGTCCTGCTTTAGTCTTGCTTTAGTCCTGCTTTAGTCCTGCTTTAGTCCTGCTTTAGTCCTGCTTTAGTCCTGCTTTAGTCCTGCTTTAGTCCCTTTAGTCCTTTAGTCCTGCTTTAGTCCTTTAGTCTGCTTTAGTCCTGCTTTAGTCCTGGTTTAGTCCTGCTTTAGTCCTGCTTTAGTCTGTTTAGTCCTGCTTTAGTCCTGCTTTAGTCCTGCTTTAGTCCTGCTTTAGTCCTGGTTTAGTCCTGCTTTAGTCCTGCTTTAGTCCTGCTTTAGTCCTGCTTTAGTCTTGCTTTAGTCCTGCTTTAGTCCTGGTTTAGTCCTGGTTCAGTCCTGCTTTAGTCCTGGTTTAGACCTGCTTTAGTCCTGGTTTAGTCCTGGTTCAGTCCTGGTTCAGTCCTGGTTTAGTCCTGGTTTAGTCCTGCTTTAGTCCTGGTTTAGTCCTGGTTCAGTCCTGGTTTAGTCCTGGTTCAGTCCTGGTTTAGTCCTACTTTAGTCCTGGTTCAGTCCTGGTTTAGTCCTGGTTTAGTCCTGGTTCGGTCCTGGTTCAGTCCTGGTTTAGTCCTGGTTCGGTCCTAGTCCTGGTTCAGTCCTGGTTTAGTCCTGGTTCAGTCCTGGTTCAGTCCTGGTTTAGTCCTGGTTTAGTCCTGCTTTAGTCTTGGTTTAGTCCTGCTTTAGTCTTGGTTTAGTCCTTGGTTTAGTCCTGGTTTAGTCCTGCTTTAGTCCAGGTTTAGTCCTGGTTTAGTCCTGGTGATAGATGGCCCCTCTCAGCTGTAGTTTGTCAGATCACAGTTGGCACTTGGAGGTCTGGATCTTGGCCAGGACTTGGACCAGGACCAGGACTTGGATCGGGGCCAGTCCTTGTTGTTGTTCATCAGGTCACGTTCAGTTTTCGTGTGTTTATGACGAGCTCACAAATCTGTGACCTAAATATTATTTTTCAGATCAATTTGGCAAATAAATGTACATTTTATTTTTAAAAACTGGTTTAAAATGTTTTTATGAGAAAAATCGGACACAATCTGATCACGTGTGACAGGGACCAGAGCTGAACCACGTCTGAATGTGAAGAGAGAATGAAATATAAAACAGCTTTTATTTACTCTGTGATGGTGTTACTGACACGTCCTGAACTGAAGTGTGTGTGTGTGTGTGTTTAATACACTTTTTAAGTTTTGTTTTTATTCCATGTTTCCTGGTCACACCTGAAAGTTAAACATTTCATTAAATAAACAGGAGTATGTCTGTTGTCTCCACATGTTCTTGTTTATACACGCATCAAGAATCTCGGACTTCCGGTCATCGTGCAGTTCATACTGGGAAGGATTTTCCGAAAAAGTGAACGTCAAACCTCCATGTTTGTTTTCCCAGTGGGACGTGTCTATTGACAAAGTCGATCTTTTCAAGTCTTTTGAACCATATCACTTTTGTTTCTGGTTCTGATATTGTCATATTTTAGTTTTGGGATTCGGACGTTGTAATTGTTGTGGTTGTTGGATACAAACAGCGGAAAACGACTCGAGAAATGTGTTTGTGAACTTCATAAATGCAAAAGTGAATCAGATGTGTGTGACTCAAACCTCCGTTCAAACTGTTTCTCTTCCCAACGGAATTGAAAAATAGTGAAACGTGAAGGTGATGGGCAGGATTGATCCACAGGAAGAACCAAAAGGAAACATATTGTCTGCCTAAGAAATCATCCCGAGTTTACAGAGAACATTTTGTATGTGGAGCGACGACAAAACAAAATCCCGATCAAGGTGGGAAACACCTCCAAAGGTTGTGGAGAATGACCGAGCCAAGATCCTGTGGGACTTCAGATACAGACTGACAGAATGGTGATGGCGAACCAACCAGACATAGTGGTGGTGGATAAGAAACAGAGCAGAGCCGTGGTGGTTGACATCGCAATACCAAGCGATGGTAATATCAGGAAAAAGGAACACGAGAAGCTAGAGAAATACCAGGGGCTCAAGGAAGAGCTGGAGAGAGCCTGGAAAGTAAAGGCATCAGTGGTGCCTGTGGTGATCGGACACTCGGGGCTGTAACCCCCAAACTGGAAGAGTGGCTACAACAGATACCAGGAAAAACAACGGAACATCTCAGTCCAGAAAAGTGCAGTACTGGGAACAGCAAAGATACTGCGCAGAACTGTCAAGCTCCCAGGCCTCTGGTAGACGACCCGAGCTGAATGAGGGTGAGAGACCAACCACCGTGGAAGGTGAGAAACACATTTATATATATATATATATATATATATATATATGTGATGTCCAGATCAATGTTCAGATTATGATGAAACTTGTGAGTAAACTTACATTTTGGTCACACAATTATTGATGAATAAATGAATAATTACTATATTAACACTGTAGGTATAACAGGTAAACTTAAAAGACCCAAGTGAAATCCTATAATGATTTTACACATGACGTTTGTTGGGATTGATTGTTACTGTAGATCCAGCATACACTACAAAAAACTACACTGCACGCTGCTGTATCCCAGAAACTGCTGCTATCAGGATTCTGACAGGAGAGTGATGAAATTTGGCACTCCTACTAAATTCTCTACTGGCAACCTCTTCTGACAGTAGGTTCTAAACTGTACAAGCATGATATTCATCTGTGTATCAAATGACCAAAGTGATTTTGGTTGAGTTTTACTTACACGTTTGTTTCCAAGAAGCTAAAAGTCTTCTTGCTTGTATTGGTCGTAACACAGAAAGGAGATCAGCCTCTTGTACAAACTGAAAATCTTCAGTAGTCTCCACCCCTATTGATTGTAGTGTCTCTTCCACAATGTTCAGAAGTGATCCAGGGAGGTCAGGTAAAACCTTGGCAATGGAACGTCTTATGTTGCTTTGCTCTCTGTCGTCCATTTCTAATAAGAGTAAATACAGTTTAGTTTACAACATTATGATCTGAAACATTTCTCCATTAGGCCTATTGTGCCAACACACCATGTTTCAATGGAACCAATTGGTATCCATCTTTCCAGTAAGATGATAATGGATAGAAATCAGCCAAGTCATTAAAGTTAAGACAGCACATCTCTTCATTGTCTTTCTTTACTGAGTACATGTGGAAATGAGGCAGAAACTCAGTACGGTATATTGAGACTATAAAATAAATTGTGTCATTTATAATCAAAATAAGCCCTATTTCACCAAAGTTCACAGAATCCCTTCCAGTCATAAGGAACTCTCCTTTTTTGTACAATGTACCCTTGTAGGACATTTTAACTGTAACCTTTGTGTTTATCTCAGTGAAGCCAAACTCCCTGACAGCATCCTGGATTACTTGACTATAGAGTGCAACATAAAACGGAGAACTGTCTTCAACTTGTAGAACAGCCTGGCCAAGTGAGCCTGCTGAAAGATAAGCCTGCAGCATTTGATGTCTTTGAGAGAGAGTAAAACAGAGGTTTTTGAAATTCTTTAGGTTCCTTGCGCATGTCTTAAAATAACTATGTTTGCTTTCAAATCTCATAGTCCAAAGTCTAATCAAGGGCCCAAATTTCAGAATAAGTGCTGGATAATGGCGTAAATAATGATGCTTGGGTTTCAGTGTTGTGCTTGGAAAGAGAGCTTTTCTTGACTCTAAATATTCTTGAATAAGAACATCAAGAAATGCAACCTGTGAAACAGATATTTTCTGAGCACATACCATATCTACAACATCCTTCAGCTGCAGAGTCAACTGCCAAACATCATCAGTTGTGTCTTTCACTTTGTCACCGATTATAACAGGCAGGAGCCTCAGAAAATTCCAGTTCTGTATGGCCTGTCCTGAAAGCTTTTTTGCCAGAGGTTTGACTTGACATGGCTTTGAAGAAGCATCAGACAAACAGTATTTAAACTGATAAATGCGTCGATTGAGAGTGGAGTATGTGAACCATTTTTTTTTCTTTATGAAATATTTAAGATAAAGCGCTACATCATATGCCAAAATGCCTTCAAATATGTCATGCCCCAAACATGGAGGCAGACCTGGCTGACAAACATGAAAGTGGTGTAAAGAATTGAAGATAGAATTGAACTTCACTCCTTCAGCTGCATCTTCATTTTGGAGACGCTCAATAGCGTCATTGTACTTGTCAGTTGTGCGCAATGGTCCACATACATTTGGATTGTCACTCTGAAATTCATCTCGGGTTACTAAGCAATACCGACAAAAGTATTGTGAAGAACTGAAATTTTCTGAGAAGCCACCAATGCAATGGGACCCCAAGTTGTCGCCAGCAATGCAATATAATGTTCCACGTACCGTTCCACGCGATGTCAAGATTCCAGTCTCCTCCAAATCCTTCAGGTCACTCACCAATTCACTGAAAACCTTTGAATGTCCAAATGTTTTAAAGTCGTTCTCTCTGCATAAAAGCACAAGTGACATATGGTCAGTGTCAGACCTCACATGTGGTGGTAAATTGGCAACATACACATAAACAGCAAGCACTTTATGTTTAGCCTTTGCAGATCCAAGGGGATTGACAACCTCAAATGCATCCTGATAGAGCACTAGTTTTAAACTGGATGGATTTTGCTTGAAAAACTCTTTCTTTTTAAATATGTGGCCATCACTAATGTCGCTCAGAACATCGACACCTGACTCTTTTGACTGCTCTCTCATGTGTGCAGTACTATTTAGCCAAAGATTTGATTGTAGCAGATGTTTCAAGGTCTCTTTGATAGGGACATAGTAGGCAAACCGGTCTTTCCTATTTCCATCTGTTCCTAAAAGCAATTTCTTTGGCTCCACATAATGAAACATTTTTTTGAAAGTCTGAGTTCTTGAGTATATAGTCCTCATTGGCCCAGTGTGGCATTCAGTAAAGAGATCAAAACTTTTCACAGAATCACAAACTTTTGTGATGTCATCATCTGAAAGTGATGTGTCATTTTTTAATAATGAACGAAGTCTGCTCAAAGTATATGCCTGACCTAATTCATGAATGTCTTGCATCTCCTCAATAATATTCTGAATGGTCGAAGCAGGAAGCAGAAACCTTCCCTGCAATTTCAAGTAAAACAAACTGACATTTCTGAGATAAAGATCACAAAAATGTTCTAATATGTCCCCTTCCTCTGTGCCAGTCTCTGTAACTACTTCATTCATTTGAGAGCAAAATTCAGTTGATTCAGTAGAAGCGGCTACAACTAATGATGGTGGTGCAAAGTCTCTATACATGTCACTAATGCTGCTGTCGGTAAGATCTTGATGTTTCCGTGAAATGTGAGATGTAAATGAAGACTTAATATTGAAAAAACTTGTGCATCCAGTAACTGGACAACATACCTCACGTCCTTCAGCAATATGTTCCTTCAGGTGTGCCAACAGGTTCTTGATCTCTTGGCAATGGTGTTCACACAAGGCAACTGGGCACCTGTAAGTACTAACAACAGCACCAACATTAACCGTTTCGGGTATGTTATGTCTGCGATAAAAATGTGCTTTAAATGCTCCATATCTGAAAAATGTCTTACTACAACCAGAGCCATAACACTTAAACAAACAATGTGGTTCATTCCTATGAAGTTTGCAATGAAGAACATAACCTCTCAGTGTTTTCACTGACTTTCCACAGAAGTTACACCGCAACATTTCAAGCTAAATTTACTGTTACTAAGGCTAAAACACAAAACTGATTGATTGAATGCACTGTGAGGTGGTAACTGTGCCAGTTGTATTAAACTTTAACTTAATTTACACAAATTAATTTACACTTAAATTTTGGAGAAAAGGAGACACAGGCACTTTCTCAGATTGCCTCTAAAAGTGCATGTGGGAAGACCTAAGTTTGAAAAATAACTTGAGCTATCAGCCTATCAGCCACCTGATAGGTTCAAAACCGTGGGAACGTGACTATGACTATGCCGCGCCCTGTCTTCCTGGGAGGGCGGGAAAGTAAAAAAATCACATACTGGCCGTATTATTACCATATTACACAGGGGTTACAACTCATGAGACTCAATTATATAAATCATGCATGAACAATAAAACAATTTTAAATTTACATTGATTGCAGTGGAGTAATTATTTGGAGAGACAAATGCACATTTTACAACTTTTACATAAATAAAATAGCGTAAATAAACACTATTAATATGTCTTAACACATATCAGGCACTGGCTTCTTGTAACAAAACCGCACCGTGAGAACCGCACCGTGAGAACCGCACCGTGAGAACCGCACCGTGAGAACCGCACCGTGAGAAACCGCACCGTGAGAACCGCACCGTGAGAACCGCACCGTGAGATAGCTGCTCATTTTGGCGGCATTCAGTACAATGTTTTAAGCTAACTTGAAAATTTTACAGTACAAATAAAATGTACAAATCTCAAAATTAGCACACCACAATACATCCACTGCATGTGAAAATGCTGTGTTATCAACATGTGCTTTTGTATTTATGCTAAAAGTACGTTGTTTTTGTGAAATATATTCTTTTCAACCAGACAGAACTCACCCTCTGCCGTCTCCAACGGTCTACTGAGAGGGGAAGTAGAACTACCAAAATAAAACACAAGGGAGCAGCTCGCACCTCTGGTTTTCAAAATAAAATATCAAAATTATAAAATTCACATATAAATTATAATGAAACCTAAAATACAACCAGGAAATAATAAAAATAAATGCATTTTTAACTAGAATAAGAGGCACGGTGGACAGGTGGGGCTTTCTTGTGTCTAATATAATTCCACACGATAAGCAGCCTAATATTAACCTGGAAAAATTGAAACAACAGATAAAGGAATAGTGAAGAGGAATACTATATATACTGATAAAATGCAATCAGATGTTACCTTCCAAACAACGAGCTGTCTGTTCTCTTCTCGCTTCACAAATTCGAACTGCGAGTGTCTTTGAGATCATCTCTCAAAGCATGTTCCTGTTCACCATGTTGATTCTATCTTTTCCTTTTCCAAGTCGAAATAGAACATCCTTGGTCGAAATTCTTCCAAACGATTGTCCTGTTTAATATGTCTCCTTGATGATGATGAACCACAGTGGCCTGTGGTCTGTTTTGCGCCATACACTGTCTGTGGAAGCCTTTATGGTTATTTAATGGTCATTTTGTGATGCACTGATGTTATATAATGGTAAAAAGTAAGTTTCTAGTCCATTTCATGAATTAATATGAGTTAGCACAGAGGGTAAAAGGCTATTACTATGGTAATTTCTCATAATTATCTACCACAAATTCCACATTTTACAACAGTTAAAAAAAAAAAAAGCTATAGGCAGTTTCTTGATTTATGGTAATTTAATGTTTATTCAACAGTAATATACTATTTTGCCTTTTATCAGTCTATTACTGTTGGCATTTCACAGTTTTCCACCACAATTTCCACATGTTACAAATGTAAAAAATAAAGTTTTGGTCTGTTTTTTGTTTTAAGGTAATTTAATGTGTATACTGTGTATAATACAGTAATATACTATTTTTAATTTTACAGTCTGATACTGTTGCAATTTCACAGTTTTTCACCCAATATTTCACATGCTAAAACAGTTAAAAATAAAGTTTTCGGCAGTTTCTTGATTTAAGGACACAGAGTAAATTATCCAACAAATGCAATTATTAGAAAACACTTTCATTCAGTTAAAATCATGTTTATAGTATTATAAAAAAAAAAAGTTTCTTGCACAAATTGTGCCAGAATTCCCCCAGTGTGATGTCATCAGGGTGGAACTCTCTAAAATAGATCTCTACATTTTCAACATATTTTTCAACTTTTCTTCCTGTTATTCACTTTAATGACATCCTGATCCTGTGTGATTTCAGTTTAATCCACAATCCCCCTGTAAAAGTACAAACCCACATTACAACAACAGTCCTACTTGAAATGACCGTACACATGTGCTGGTGTGTGTGGTCTCGGCCAGTACAATCAACATCATGAGTGATGAACAACTGAAGAAGATGAAAGAAGTGCGACTGGCAGCTCGAGACTTGGGTATTAATAACAATAATCATATTAAGTCTATATTTTTTGCCCACATGCGCGAGTGTGATTGTGTGTGTAACCCTAGGGGGTTACTGTTTTGGCATATTTTATTTTCTTAGGAGCTGGTACTGGTCTTTTGTCTAATTCTCATCTGAACATTTCTCATAGAAATTCCTCAGATGGCTATTCTGACAAAGATTGATGTATGTATGTGGTGGGGTTCTTCCAAAAAAAACTCAGGCTTAGGCAGGAAATGCTTTTCGGTGATTTATTGTGCTCTCCAACAGTGCAAAAGGTGCCAAACGTGAGTGGATAAATATTTACAGTGGTGGTGTGAAAAACAAAAATGACAAAAGTTTTTTGGTGGACTTCCCCTTTAAGTCCGGCAAAGTTTCTCTCTCGCTCTCTCACTCACGCTCTCGGTCGCTCGTTCGCTCTGGCTCACTCCACCCAAGTTACCTCCACTGCAACCTGGTCGCAACTGGCCACAGAGCTGGAGAGCGCACCTTTATATCCCCGGTTTGCCCCTCCCACATTGCATAATTCCCCCCAATAATCATGATTTCGCCGTTTCTACCATCAAACGGCCTATGTTTATATAGCACGATGGTTATATACCCGTAATAGCTTACGCCCAGAATGAACAGGTCTTAAATACAACGTCTGAGAGACAGACAATACATTTAATTGCCCATGCAAATTAGTTGTTTGCACACCTGATTCCCGGAACCCACGCAACGACCGGATTTAAACTCCCAGCGCGGATGTGTCCGGGTTTGCCAGTACACACCACGGAAGGAGGGCGAAGGCGGCGGCGCGAGGGTAAGGAATGTCTGGATTGGCGTGCTTTAGATTAATTGAATAAGCGCTTCCAAGTGTGCACCCTTAGTCGCGGAAAGACACGCAGGAGATGTTGGGAGAATTTTATTGTAAAACAGTGATTTTGGTAGGAACTGGTACGGCGAGCGGTGCGCAATAACTACGGAAACGGGTGCGCGCATCTTCACGTGCTCTCCCCCAGGACGGCGTTCTTTAGGGACGAGCCTGCTCCGTCACATCATCCCTCCCCTCTGGAAGGTTGGCACTGTGGGGCAACCTTGAAAGGTAGTCCGCAACAATATTTGCCTTTCCTGCCCTGTGCCGGATGACAAACTTGAACGGTTGGAGTGCTAGGTACCCACCGGGTAAGTCGGCTGTTATGGTCCTTCATGGACTCGATCCAAGTGAGAGCCCTGTGGTCAGTCTCCAAGTCAAACTCTCGGCCAAGGAGATAGTAGCGAAGGTGATCCAGTGCCCATCTGATGGCAAGCCCTTCCTTCTCAATGGCTGAATATCTGGTCTCCCTTGGCTGCAGTTTCCGGCTGAGATACAGAATAGGGCGCTCCTCTCCGGGTTCTCCTTGGACCAGCACTGCTCCCAGGCCAACTGCGGACGCATCCACTTGCACCCGGAACCTTTCATCGAAATCTGGGCTCTTCAAGACTGGGGAAGAACACAGGATGGTCTTAAGGGTGCTGAAGGCCTGCTCACATTCCTCTGTCCAGTTCACAGGGTTCCGCTGGTTCTTCATGGTGAGGGCTGTGAGAGGAGCCGCAATTGTGGCGTACTGGGGCACAAACCGCGATACCACCCAGTGAGGCCAAGGAATGAGCGGACTTCTTTTTTTTTTTGCGAGGACGTGGCAGTTCATGATGGCCTCCACTTTGTCCACCTGGGGTCGAACTTCTCCCCGTCCCATCTGGTACCCAAGGTATCGTGTCTCTTCTCGGGCCCACTCACATTTGGACGGGTTCAGAGTTAGTCCAGCTTGCGCAATCTTCCCCAGGACCAAGGACAGGTGTTGCAGATGCTCCTCCCACGTGGAACTGAACACCACGACATCATCCAGGTAAGCTGCACTGCACTCTTTCACAGCCGACTAGGACCTTGTCCATCAAACGCTGGAATGTTGCCGGAGCCCCATGCAGCCCAAATGGCATGACAGTGAACTGGAAAAGTCCTGCTGGGGTCCGGAAGGCGGTGTAGGGACGGGATGCCTCCTGCAGCGGGACCTGCCAGTATCCCTTGCAGAGATCCAGCGTGGTGATGTACCGTGCTGCTCCAATTCGTTCCAGTAGCTCATCAATTCTGGGCATTGGATATGCATCAAATTCAGAGACAGAATTCAATTTACGAAAGTCAATGCATATCCTCAAGGAGCCATCCTTCTTGAAAACGATGACCACTGGACTGCACCACTCTGAATTGGACGGCTCAATCACCCCCAACTTCAGCATCTCCTGCACCTCCTGGTGCAACTTGGCCACCAGCTGCTGAGGTACCCTGTAAGGTCTCTGTCGAATGGGTTTAGAGTCTTTCAGGCGAATCACGTACTCCACCAGGGTGGTTTTTCCAGGTATGGGTGCAAACAGAGAAGGAACCTCCTGGAAAACTCGGAGAACACTTGCAACTTGCTCACGTGTCAGGTGATCCAGTGATGGTGGAGCAGTGCTGGTCAGAGTCTCTAGAGTGGTGTCCACCTCCTCTTCTTCCTCCTCTCCCAAGTCCTCTCTTAGGGCAGTTAGGATGGAAACTGGGGTGGTCCGATCTTTCCACAGCTTCAGTAAGTTCACATGATAAGTCTGTTTCTGCCTTTTCTTTTCAGGATGTAGAATCTCATATGTGACAGGACCCATTTTCCGGACAACAGTGTAGGGCCCCTGCCACTTAGCCAGCAGCTTATTGGAGGAGGATGGAAGTAACAGCAGGACCCTCTCACCAAGGTTTGAACTCACGGTGTCGGGCCTGCCGGTCGTACCAGGCTTTCTGCGTTTTCTGGGCCTGCTGCAAGTTCATTTCCGCCTGGTCCAGGTAAGTAGCCAGCCGCTCCCGCATCTCCAAAACAAACTGTACAATCCCTTTGCGAGTCTCAGGGGTGGATGGAGCCCCCCAGGTCTTGCGGAGTAAGTCCAGTGGGCCTTGGACATCCCACCCATACAGCAGTTCAAAAGGTGAGAAGCCAGTGGATGCTTGTGGCACTTCCCTGTATGCAAACAAGACGAAAGGCAGCCAACGGTCCCAGTCCTTCCCAGTGTCATCAACAAACCGCTGCAGCATTCGCTTGAGCGTCTGGTTGAAACGCTCTACAAGACCATCAGTTTGCGGGTGGTAAGGGGTCGTTTTGAGGCTGGAGATGCCAAGCTGGCGGTAGAAGAGCTGCGTCAGACGAGAGGTGAAGTTAGTCCCTTGGTCCGTGAGGATCTCGTCTGGAATGCCGACCCTTGAAAACAGCTGGACTAGAACTCTCAAAACAGCAGGCGCAGTGATGTTGCGGAGTGGAAATGCTTCTGGGAACCGGGTGGCGTAGTCAGATAAGGACTAAAATGTATTGAATATCCACTGCTGCTCTTCACAGAGGGCCTACAATGTCCATTGCGATTCTGCGAAAAGGGGTAGAAATCACAGGGCAGTGGTTGGAGGAGAGCACGATCAGACTTGCGTGGGACGCACAGTTTTTGACAGGTGGAGCAAGTGGCACAATACTGTTGTACATCCTTGTACATTGAGGGCCAATAGAATCGCGAGCTAATGCGCAGGTACGTTTTATGCCGACCAAGGTGGCCAGCCAAGGGAGTGAGTGTGCTAAGTGTAAAACGACCGGACGACATTGTACAGGTACCACAAGGCGTTTACAATCACCCTCAACAGAAAACAAGATACCATCATCAATCACAAACACTTCCTTCCCCACACAGCCCCCCTTAGAACTGGCTCCCACTTTGGCAAACAAACCATTCAGTGTTTTATCCTCCCTCTGCAACACAGTTATGTTTTCAGGCACTTCCCACTCATTCAAAGCTGACAATGCACCCAAATCAGGATTCTCAGTCCACAGTTTTTTCTCAAAGCGCCTCTGACGCCTCGATTTTCTGGGCCCCTTGGTGCCTCCATCAACCAGACTACTGTCCAAGTCAGGTAGAGGTTCAACACCAGTCTTAGCTTGGGCACAAGTAACCACAGGGCAAGAAACAGCGGCACAAGACATTTCTGTTACAAGTTTCCCCATCCCCCCAGAGTCACAGTCCGTTACCAATGCATTTCCATTTAATAGTTCCATTAGCACAGGTAAGTCACACCCCAGGATTGCTCCCACTGGTAAACTGTCCACTACCCCCACAGTCAAAAGGTATTGCTGCCCATCAATATTCAGAGTCACATCAATAGTAGGGTACGGGTGTGTGTCTCCATGAACACAGCGAACATCAACAGTTTTTGCTGTAATCCAGGCTGCCTAGTGGCACTAGCTCACGTTTGACCAGAGAAGTGAAGCTCCCTGTGTCCAAAAGAGCAGTCACATTCTGGCCATTAATCAGTACAGTCTTGCAATGCTGTCCAACACCTCCAAGATCCCCAGCAAGCCCTGTCTCTAAGCGGGATGGGTAACATGCCCCGGTAACTTTAGCTCTCCGCAGCGGGCATACGGACGCTTTGTGCCCCGGTTGCTGGCAATAGAAACAAACAAGTTCCTTACCCGATCCTCGTTGGTTTGGGGCAGAAGTACCTGGTTGCTCCGGGATCTCTCTCCGTGCCGGCCGTGGGAGAGACGGCTGGACGGGCAGACGAGGTGTAGTTGCAGCTTGGCGAAGGGGTGGTGCTCCTCTGCGAGCGTTGACATATTGCAGGGCCAGCCTGGCAGCAGACAGACCGTTCACCGGCTCATGCTCCTTGACCCACGTCCGCACATCCATCGGCAGGACGCGCAGAAGCTGCTCGAGTACGATGGTCTCTCCGATTTCCTCTTTTGTGTGTTCCTCCGGACGAACCCAGCGGCGATAGAGGCCCTTGAGGCGATGGTAGGTCTCCATCGGATTCTCACCAGGGGGCACTGTGGTGGCACGAAACTGTTGCCGATAGGTTTCCGGTGAGACATCGAACTTCATCAGCAGAGCCTCCTTCAGATCCTCATAGCAATGGGCCCTTTCCTCATCCATGGAGGTGTAAGCCTCCAGTGCCTTGCCAGTCAGCAGTGGAACAAGGCGACAGGCCCACTCATTTTCTGGCCACCTCCATGTTTTGGCTATGCGTTCAAAGCGTAACAAATAGTTCTCAATATCTTCCCCCTCTTGATATTGGGGTATCTTGGGGTCGCTGTAGTGTCTCCACTCCGGCCGTGGTCCAACTTCCGGCTCATGGTGGAAGGGAAGCATGTCATCAGCATCAAGCTCCCTGGGCCGCAACACCGTCCTAGTGCCCCCAGGGGTTGGTAGTCCTAGCCTTGGGCTACTCCCTGTGTTTGTCGGTGTAGGTGCTGCTCCCGTGGACAGAGGGTGCAGTGGAGAGGCCTGTGCGCCAGGAAGTGCAGCTCTCAGCTCTCGGAGCTCCGCCATTAAGCCCTCCTCTCTCCTTTGCTGTCCAGCCAGGAAGTGCTTCATTATGGACACCAGCTCCCCCGCTCCATCTGAGTCGACCGTCTCCTCCTCATACTTGCACTGCGAACGAAGCCCTTTACGTTTCCGGGCGACTAGCCATCCCACTCCTGACACCAGATGTGGTGGGGTTCTTCCAAAAAAAACTCAGGCTTAGGCAGGAAATGCTTTTCGGTGATTTATTGTGCTCTCCAACAGTGCAAAAGGTGCCAAACGTGAGTGGATAAATATTTACAGTGGTGGTGTGAAAAACAAAAATGACAAAAGTTTTTTGGTGGACTTCCCCTTTAAGTCCGGCAAAGTTTCTCTCTCGCTCTCTCACTCACGCTCTCGGTCGCTCGTTCGCTCTGGCTCACTCCACCCAAGTTACCTCCACTGCAACCTGGTCGCAACTGGCCACAGAGCTGGAGAGCGCACCTTTATATCCCCGGTTTGCCCCTCCCACATTGCATAATTCCCCCCAATAATCATGATTTCGCCGTTTCTACCATCAAACGGCCTATGTTTTATAGCACGATGGTTATATACCCGTAATAGCTTACGCCCAGAATGAACAGGTCTTAAATACAACGTCTGAGAGACAGACAATACATTTAATTGCCCATGCAAATTAGTTGTTGCACACCTGATTCCCGGAACCCACGCAACGACCGGATTTAAACTCCCAGCGCGGATGTGTCCGGGTTTGCCAGTACACACCACGGAAGGAGGGCGAAGGCGGCGGCGCGAGGGTAAGTGAATGTCTGGATTGGCGTGCTTTAGATTAATTGAATAAGCGCTTCCAAGTGTGCACCCTTAGTCGCGGAAAGACACGCAGGAGATGTTGGGAGAATTTTATTGTAAAACAGTGATTTTGGTAGGAACTGGTACGGCGAGCGGTGCGCAATAACTACGGAAACGGGTGCGCGCATCTTCACGTGCTCTCCCCCAGGACGGCGTTCTTAGGGACGAGCCTGCTCCGTCACACCTGCCCTTTGGTCAAGGCTGACATAAAGAATGTCAACAGAAGCAAATATGTGAAAGAGCTGGTAATAACCTGTTATGTAAGTGTGTGTCAGTGTGCTACAGGTTTTTGAATTGATTCTTTTTGTTTAGATGGAAACCCTGAGTGCGTCTGTGGGCATTCCTCTGAACTGCATCTTCCCAGTGAAGAACTACCACAGTGAGCTCTGTACAGACAAGGAGATAGAAAAGCTCATTCTGACGGCCCTGAAACAAATGATTGATTTTGGGGAAGATTTTGTGAACAGCTGCACATCAGCTGAAGATTCAGACAGCTCCTCTGGACATAGCTAACCCACTTGGCTCTGTGCTATAACTGCTGGCCTTGATGAGCTTCATTTGGAGTCAAACGCTGTTGGTGATATCACACTCTCTCAGAACACTTTATACAGTCTGTGGACAGCACTTTGACTCCTTTAGAAGAACAGACAGTCTGGTCGTTTGTTTGAACACTGTGTGATTTTGTTCATGTTTAGATTCATGATCTTATTTTAACTGTTGTGCTTTCAGTTTTGATTTATGTCAATTATCCAATTACGCTTTTTGATGTTGTTGACGCCCAGTGATGTGTGTCTTTGTGTCACGTGGGCGGGGCCTGCACCTGTGTGAATTAAACAGCCTGTGGGAATGTGGTGTTCAATAAGTAAATATATTACTATTATAAATATAAATAAACACATACATGATGATTGAAAATGACTTCACTGTGTTGGTTTAACATTTCACATCTGTAGCTCTGTAACAACTGAAGAACATGTCACAGCCTGGTGTAGAATAAAGTCTTATAAAGTCGGCATATGAGTGATACAATGACAACATGAGTGTTTTTAAAAATGAGAATAAAATAATACCCTGGACTGATCTCACATAGAACAGGTCTCTTTTTGTTTTTCTCTGGCTCACGTGTTTATTTCTCAGATGCAAGGCGTCTTGGTCTGATCTGAGCGTGGTAAAACATCCAGGTCAAACTCACTGCTCAAGTCATGTCCCAGAATCCTCCACAGACATGTGACACTGGAGTGTATCCTTTACTGCCTTATTACCCAAAATGCTCCAGGATCATTAAAGAAAAAAAGGGAATGGATGATGAACTTCCAAAACGACTGCTAGCATTAGTAACGGGTTTGATTGACAGCTTTGCCTAACTGAGATAGAAACTCAGAGTAGAGCTGCTGCTCCTCCAAGTGGAGAGGAGCAGCTGAAGGCATCTGCTCTGATGCCTCCTGAATGCCTCCTTGAGGAGGTGTTCTGGGCACATCCCACCAGGAAGTGGCCCTGGTGAAGACCCAGGACATGCTGGAGGTCTCCGGATCTCCCCAGAGGAGCTGGAGGAAGTGTCTTGGGTGAGTGTAATAGCCTGGTGGCAACCTTAGCGGTTTGAAGAGGAACAGAGTCAAGTTGAGCCAGTTTTCTGTGCAGATCCCAGTGCATTTATTCCCAACAAGACAAAAAACTATTTACAAAAGTTCCAAAAATAAAACAGGCATGGCAGTACCTGCGCTCACACAGCACCCCTCCTGAACAATGTGAGGCTGGCTTCTTTTAAAGGCCCTGTCCTAATTGGGAGACGCCACTATAACGATCAGGTAACCCCAATAATTCTACATTTAATATTTAAAAGCTAATTATCAAAAACAGTGCCCAAACAACATCCAATTATATATATTACAAAAATATATATATCTTTATTTAAATTAGCAGTGTTCAAATGTTTTAAAATACTAAATAGAACCAGTTAAAAATGTGTGCTCCCCTCCTCCAAACACATGGTTGGCTGCCCCGGAACCTTCTTAAGGTGCTCTGGCTCCCCGGGGACTCTTTTGGCTGGAGCACCTGAGGCAGACCACACCAGAGGGCAAGTACAATCACTTTAGAATTACTTTTACAATTTAAATGCACTTTACTTTTACCTATTTCCTTTTCTTTTTCAGGTAACTTCATCTGCACCTAATTTTCAATAAACATTTCTAAAACTTTGTTTCTCATTATTTCACTCTTTACTTAGCCCTAGGCCCAAGTAATGGACTGGCTACATTACAGTGAGGGAAGTCTGGGAGTCCCTGCTTAGACTGATGTCCCCACGACTCGACCCTGGATAAAGTGGAAGAAGATGGATGTACATTTTAAGAGTGAATATTATATTTTTGGTTTGTAGTTTGAAGTGTTTTACACTGACCTCAGGCTTTATACCAGTTGAAGTGTGTTCAGGTGCACTGTTATGTGACATGAAATTATTTTATTTAACCTCGGTTAATATGGGATTATATATTAACCACCACAGTACTTTGTAGTAGGTCTATTCTAGTTATATTTACTGACTAAAATGTAATACTGCCTAAAAATGTAGTTAAACTAATTATTCACTGTAAGTAAAAAGTGCAGTTCATTCTCTGGTGCTGTGGGCTTTTTATTCACCTGTGACTTTCTTGTTGCTGCTGCAGGACTTTCAGTGAGATCTTGCATCTGTTGCTGCGCTGAAGGACGATCCTGGACCAGTCTAGAGCAACAAGGAGTCAGAAGAATGCTACTGATAAAACTTTCTTGGTACGTTAAAATAATTTATTCTAGGTTACATCTGTCACTCACAAAAATCAAAAAGTCGATAGATTGCGATCTCTACTTTGGTTGATCTCGATGATAAGTCGAGCACATGATAAATAATCAATTTTATTCTATTCTGTAAGCCAAAGTGCATGTCGTCTGAGAGTATGGTCAAAATGTCAGTGTCAAAAACTGTGTATAGCCCTGGTGTCTTCATTCAAGAGGGGAATGGAAAGCAGCATACTGTCCTGAGGAAGACGGACTGAAGATGGCGCTGTCGTCCTGCTTCCACCGAGAGGAAGACCGCGCCAAAACCTGTTTAAATCAGCTGACCGGACACGTCACAGCAACATCATGTGACTCTGAGGAAGACGCTAGTGAGCAGTCGAAACTGTCAGGTATGAAAACAAACTCTTGGTCTGAAAAAAAACTATAACATGAAATATCGGAAGACCAAATGAACCTCATTGGGCTGGAAAGCAGCATCATTTCAAGTGATTATTATTAGTTCTCTATTGATCACGCTGTAACATATACATAGAATATCAACAGGTTAACATTTGATCATGTGGTAGTGCGAGTGCGTGGAGTCAGCAAGGATTTACATTGTCATCTTTGTATTACAATTTCTTCAGTGTCGTCTGCCCCGCTCCTCCCTCTCCCTCTGATCCAGCCACAGCTCCTCAACTTTTCCCCACTTTCACTTCTATGGTGCTTCTCATCTTTATAATCCAAGTTACGGTAAGTAAACAACTATTTTCTGATTTTATGAGTGACCTGTATCACCTCATTTAGTGCATGTGTTTCTGTTGATAACAGTATTGCACATAAGCATTTGGGTTTAATATACTCTATTGTACAAACTCATTCGAGCGTTTAAAGGTTGTATAGAGGATTTTCCAAGGAACGAGAAATCCAGCGACTGTTTGTCCTTTTTCAAATGTTGCGCATGCGTGAAACCACCCCCCCTCCCCGACAGCTCCTACGTAGAAACGCCTCCTCCCGCCTCATCTTTACGCCAGAAACGTTTGTTTACAGCCGGTGCTGCACGTGACTTGTAAACAACTAACTACAGTGTTGGTTAGGCAAGACGGAGAAGTGAGGAGCGGGGGGAGGGGGGCGGATATTTCGTGCGCGGACGAGAAGTGAGAAGCAGGGGGAAGAACGGAGCGGGGAGTGAGGAGAGGAGAGAGGAGAGGAGGAGAGGGGAGCGGTGCGTGGAGATTCCGTGAGGAGCAGGAAGAAGAGCAGAATGGGCAGAGAGGGGCGCAGAGAGGGGGGCACGGAGATTCAGTGCGAATGAACTAGCTACTACTACAACACGCAGCAGCAAGCGGACTCTTTCTTTGCCTTGAAAATTGAGTTTTCAGACATAGGATATCGCATTTGTGTCCTGAAAAAACGATTGTCTAACTCTTGGAAATAAAGTACGTTTTCATAATAAGCAGAAGTTTCCTGTCCAGAAGTAATTTATGGACCAGTGCGTCAGTCTTTAGACCCTTCATCTGCTTCAGTCGCGCCATCGCTGGAATGAATCTTCAAGAATCACCTTAGTTTGGCTTCGCTGCTTTTTCCCCTTGTCTTCTTCTTTCAGCGACCTCAAAAACTGACTTTTCTTTTGCGGCGAACTGCTCCTGGATTCTTGTCGCCATTGCAACAAACTTTGTGTGAACTGCGAGGAAGATATAGGTCAAAAAAGCCGCTAAGAACTGTTGTGTTGGTGGAGTAAACAGCGTCTATGCGTTTGTGGACTGCGTGACAGTCGTACGTAAACCACGTAACGGCGGCGCAGGCAAGTCAGTTACACTAGAAACGTAGGGAGTTTGATTGACAGCCTGTCAGCTCACAGATAACGAGGCAGTGTCGTTATCTATTGGCAAA